CCTTCGGTCTTCTGTGAGGTTGAGTCGCATGTAAAGAGAGGTTCCCAGTGTGAGAGTCTCTTATAGCCCATCCTGTATACTTGGCTCATTAAAGATGATAATTAACCCATTGCTAATTGACCTCAGAAATCAGCCAAGCAGCCTGTGTTTTACCAGCATTAGTGGTGGGTTTGTAGGCTATTTTAAGCTCTCTTAATAATCTCAACAAGACTTCACTTTCCTGCCTGCATCCTATTTGCTCTAAGGACATTCTGTAAAATTAACAAGCTATAAAGTTTGATTGAAGGTTTCAACAAATGTGAGAATAATTGGCTCCATTTAGAGAAACAAGAAAAACAACCTGTAAACTAGAGTTTGTAGGGGAAAACCCGTGTGATTTTTTCTCTTTAACCAGAGAAGCAGTGGCAAACAGGGCTTTTTAACACCAGAAAAAAAAAAAAATTGAACTGGTTGATAATGCAAGTTCAAAGTCTGATTGTCCAAAACCAAAAACTCAGAAAAAGAAATTGTGCAAAATCTAATCCACCACTATAAAGCTCATGCCTTCCAACAGATCCGTTTGGAAAAAACAGGGACCCTGTAATGATGGGGTAAGTGTTATAGGGCACCTCAATTCTGTTAACTTCCCTCTCCTAGGGACCACTCAGTTACATAAGTACCTCATTCCCTAGAACTTACATCCAGAGGCCTGGTTCAGCCCTCTGATCCCTTCCTGCTCCCTGGCTAGAATGGGCCTGAAGTGAAAGTCTCACAGCCCAGAGCATGTCAGTCTGTGGTGCCTGGTGCTCCCTTCTCATTCTTTCCTCTTTACCTCTGAAACTCTCTCTTCCCCCATCCCTCTTTCCCTCCTCCCTCCACCACCTTCTTTTTCCCTCACTCACTTCACCCCTTTCCCAAAGCCTGCTTAAGTCTCTTTTTCTGTTCCTTCCTGTGCATTTCTGTCCAGGCAGGGCTTGTGCCCTGCTGAATAACTGTGGAGAGTCACTATTTTTCTGAAAACATTCATTCTTTGCTTTTCCACTGCCCCACCTAAGATACTCCAGACTAGTAAGTAACCCAGTCTGCCTTCTTCTCTCCTGGCCTAGCAGTTTGTTCCTGCTTTTCCCAGGACCTAACCTTCCTCTTAGCTCCAACCTCCTCTTAACCCATGCATGCTCACATTATCTCTCTCTAAGGAACTGAGCCTGGGACAGGACACCCTGTATCACCCTGCCACATCTCACTTTCAGTTTTCCTTTCTGCTTTGGTTCTTTGCGTGTGGACCTGATCTGGGTGATAGCTAGAGCCCTGAAGTTAGAGGTTTCAGTTCCCACTGATGGGGCACGCTGCCTCAGATGGTCTTCAGGGGAAGGGAAAGGGGCTTTCTTTAACTGCTTTTCTTTCAGCTCTTCCATGACCTAAAGTCCCAATTTTCTTTTCAAAAATGACTGGAGTGATTTGTGTAAGACATTTTGCCCCTTAACTTTGGAGTTTCTGATCTCCTGCACAGTGAACGTCACTCTGAAAGGGCCATCACTGCCACTGAAAAGGTGCTGAGTCCCAAGTTCCCAGAGTATTCCCAGTCAGCAGTACTATCTATCACCTGACCCTAACTCCAGTCTAGCCCATCCTGTAAACAGCCCAGGAAGAAGGCCTCCTGCCCAACCTTCTGTTGTCGAGAATCAAGAGTTTGTCCAGGGCTATAGTGCACGTACCCCGTATATTCTCTGTTTTGCACCAATATAGAATGGAGAGAACTGTTGCAGAGATTGTGTCAGTTACTTCATGTAGACTCTTCCTCCAAACAGGAGCCTAGCTTTACCCCTTTTCTAACAAGAGGTCTTCCTTGACCAGGCAAAGATCATCTTGGAGTTGACTCTTTCTGGGTGGTTTAAAGACTTCTCTCATGTTGGTCTTTAGTAACCATATTTCAGCTTTTTTCCCCTACTGAAGTGCTAGAGGCTTTGTCTAAGAGAATATTCCCAAAAGCCTCCTGTAGAGCAAGATCAAGAGAACTATGGTCCTTCCCCTTGTTCCTCCTACCTTAAAGCAGAATACTTTAAGGGACAAGAAGGGCAGTGGACTGGAGACAGAAGGTTTCTCTGCCCCAGCCAAGCCTTAGACTTTTTGCCGCTCAGCTCCATTATCTGCTAAATCATTAGAACCCTTCTCCTTCCCCCAATGTCCTTTAGAAACCTCAGAGACTATACAGCCTTGGTGGTTATCCTTGTTAGTTGGATTGTAAAAGAGAGAGGACACTGCAAAAAAATCGCGGTGCCTTTTCTCTAAATAGGTAGAATTCTTTTCAGATCTCATTGCAGATCTCTCAGCTGATCCCTCACTGGACCAAAGCCCTAAAACCCTCTTGAGAATTATCTAGAAATACTACGACCCTACCAGAGGGAATAATGGCTGTGCAGACAAAATCCCCAGGGAATCCAGGTTACTGGAACAGGAGAGATGCCACAATGACGACTCCTTTTTGTCTTTGTGTCCTTGTGAGTGACATCTCCCAGTGGTCCTCAGAGGATGTGCTGCAGGCAGGCTGAGGATGTCTGCATCCCTGGGCCCCTGCTGGGCCCTGGAAATCCCCATCTCCAGGAGCCCCACGTCCACACATACGGCCCTTCCTCTTGGCAGGAGCCACACCTTCTTCCTGAGCCAGTCGGCATGCCACCCAGCCCAGGCTCCAGCTGTCCTGCCTGCCTGTCGCACACACAGCCACAGTCACACGCTCCTCTGCCGGGCAGACTTCTGCTGCTTGCCCAGCAGGAGTGCCAGGATACCTCGCACTGTACAGGTGACACCGAGAACCATCTTAAGCTTTTTGTCTGTCCTCCTCTCAACACTTAACTCCCACCTCCATTCAGTGGCAGCAACCTCACAGAAAAGGAAAGTCCTGGACCCATTACATAATTCTCCATAGTGTAAGCAGTAGCTGGGGCATAAGGTCAGAGGTCATAGTGGGGTCAGGTGGCTGACACACACTGTAACGACAAGGTGGTTAAAATTAGACCACAGAGAGGAAACTGGCAGTCTTGTGGAAATGCAGAAGTTTCCTCTGCAAGTGAGAGGCTGGGGATGCAGGGAGGCCACTGTGCGTGCTGCCTGCCAGGCTATTACTCATTTCAGCTCTGTTTAATGCCTTTTAGCCCCTGCTTCTGTATTTCTAACCTTCCTCATCACATGTTTGAATACACGCGATAGAACTCATGGTTACCTGCTTTGGTTCAGGGGGAGCCTCCTTCCTCCTTCAAAGAGGGTGGTAAACCCAGGACCAGGCACCCCAAGCTCAAGACAGCTGTTCTTTCCTATGTCTTTCCTGAGTATCTGAGCCCCTTTTAGGTCAGCCTCTCAGGTGGAGGTGGTCGTGATACTTAGCCACTCCCATTCAGGAGAATAACAGTTTGGCCGGAAGCGGCAGAGGATGGAGTCATGGAGCACACATCTGCCTGGTATGTGCTGCGCTTACCCTGGCCAGCCAGCAGACAGAGAGGTGCTCCTATCCATAGTGCCCTAGAGGACACGGGTCATGCCTGACTCATCTACTCCCTGTGGTGCCTGTACTGGCACTCCTCCAGTAAGGAGGAGAGGACCCCAAGGGCTGAAGATGAAGAGAGGGTGCAAGTGGAGCAGAAGGGTTTGCAAATGAGGGGGGGGTGTTGTCCCACAGGAGAAGGGTCCCTATCCACAGAGTTACCCAACGACCTCTGTCTGTAAGTCCTTCCTGTGAGCCTGTGTGTGCCCCGCTTACCCTTAACACCACTTACCAGTGAATCATGAAGGTATGAGATGTCTAGCCACCAGTTGGGTTTTGTCCAGGTGAGGAAAATAACATACTCACTGATAAAGGACCAGGCACACAGTCAGAGATGTTCACCAAGTTAATACTCTACTGCATGCAGTCTTTTTCACCTTTTAGAGTGGAGAAGTATTAAAGAGGGCAGGGACGCTCAGTATGAACTGGAGTCCATGATGATGAAGGGGCCGCCACCTGTGGCACATCTGGCTGGTAAAGTGTGTTTCCCTGTGTAGAATGCCTTCACCAGCTCCTGGGCTCCTCGTAAGCAGGGACCCCTTGGTGAGTGCATGCTGCCAGTAAGGGAGGAGAGGACCCCAAGGACTGAAGATGGAGAGAGGGTGCAAGCAAAACAGATGGGTTTGCAAGTGAGGGCATGTGTGTGTGGTCTCACAGGGAAGGACCCCAGACAGAGTGACTATGGAAATTTCATCTGAAACACTTACAAATTTGACAATTGCTCAAGATACTGAATTTCATTTCAGCTAAATCAGCCCCAGCTTCTCTGACAGCATTGACTTATGTGCTGATGTGACCACATGGGAGCAGGGTAGCGTGAACCCCTGGAGGAGCAGAACTTTGGTGAAACACCCCCCACCTGCTTTGCCTGTCTCCCTTCTCCTGACAACAATTTCCTGCCTGACCCCAGTCTTTTGAGCATGGGAAGCTCTTAGGTGGGGCAGGAACCTGTCAGGGGAAGCCCAAAATGATCTGACTGAAATGAAACAGCCAAGAAAGCCCTCATCATTCATTTTGCACTCAGGCTGAAGTTTTCCTTTGGGAGTCTGGAGAGGAGAGAGCTGGGAGGAGAACGGAGGGTGGTAGTGAGGGGTACCAGAAGGCTATGCTGCAAACACCAGTTTTATACTTCACCCTTCCTTCTACCAGTTAGATACCAAACGTAGAAGAATATATTCTTTTTTATAATAGGACTTTAATAAGAGAAAGACAAAAACCCACAGATCACTATCACTGGTTCTAGAGTCATCTGTTGCTCCAGAGATGACCTAAGGAAAGGCACTGGTGACTTTTCTTCCTTCAGAGATGTTAGTTCTCAGTGACCCCTTGGCCCTCCTCACTGGCACACACACTCCTGCTCACTCAGCCTGCCTCCCTTACCCAGTACCCAGGACACATTGCTCATTTGCCTCTGTCAGTAGACTCTCGTGTTCATCTTCCCTTGCATAAATGCTGTTTTTCTTCTCTCCCTCTTGCCCTGTAGGTTATTGCAGCAGACTGCAAAAGGGTCACGGTGCTGAAGTATTTTCTGGAAGCCCTTTGTGGACAAGAAGAGCCTCTGCTGGCATTCAAGGGTGGAAAATATGTGTCAGTGGCACCCGTCCCAGACACCATGGGAAAGGAAATGGGAAGCCAAGAGGGAAAACAACTGGAAGATGAGGTACTATGCGGGAAGAGCCCGCTGTGGTAGAGGGAAGGCTCCCTTCCCCCCTTCCAGCCCTGCTCTGCCTGAGGCTTCAGCTTCTACCCCTGGTTATTTATAACCGCTTAGAACAGTGTCGATGTTAACGTGACCAGCCAACTTCTCAAGAGTGCACTCTGCCGGTGCCCTTCCTGCCAGTCCCACCCCAGTGCTTCCATCTTTGCTACGAGTTCCAGATGCTTCTTTTTAATGTTGCACTGGAGGAGAAGGGAGGGAAAGAAAGAGTTTAATAATGTGCAGCTCTGGAGGCTTAGGAAAGGGAGTGGAGGGGGGGTGTTAGGGTTCAGGCTGAGGATCAAGTTTATAGATGTGTGGAGCTCAGTGCAGCACAGGCCTGAACTCCAGCCTCCAGCACACGTACAGGAAGAGCTGACATTGCTGGCCCCATGTGGAAAATCACCCCCTCCCCCAGCTTACCCTCCCTCCTTTGCTCCCTCCCTCCTTCTCTCCCTCCTGCACATCCTGATGTGATTAAGGAATTCTCTTGTTTGTTTGCCCTTGGTTGTTCCTGTAGCCCTTGCTTCACTCCAGATCATGTGCGCGTGCGTGCACACACACAGCTGTACGCCCACTCCTCCGATACCCCACTAACAGTTGCCCTGTCATGCGTGTGTGTGTCTTCCTGAGAGTGATTGTTGAAGTGGGTCTGTATGTGCTGGATTTGTGTGTCAGTTTAAGTTGAACTCCGCTGCCAGCTTCCCTGCTGTCTGTGAGTTCTAAGTAAATGTGAGTGCTTGACTGTGTCGGCACATACATGCATTTAACATCACTGCCAGCTGCCTGCTGTGTGTCTGGGTGTGGGTAACTCTGTCTGGGTGTGTATGCACACACAGTTCACTTTTGCCTGAAGATTGACTCTTTCCTTCTTTTTATCTCAGTGTTAAAGATAGAGGGACCTTCAGTGGGAAGGAACATGGGACTTAGGGAAGGGACGGAAGTGATTCTAGCCAGAGGCCAGGTCACCCATAGGCCAACATAGTCATTTGGCCCACAGAGGTCTCAAGTGCCTGCTGGAGCAGGGTGGGGCGCGGAGGGATGAAATCAGCAACAGGCCGGGGAAGCCAGATGTCAGCTGGAAGCTGTCGTTTGTGATCTGAAGCAGTGATAGAGTGGCCACCTTTGGTTCAGAGTCTTCAGAGCAGTCTTGGAATGGCTGCAGTAGAATAACTGGAGAACCCCACCCACCCTGATGACACAAGGCTTAGCTTCCAGGACAGGGGTGGTTTCAGGGATAAAACTGAGCCTGCGATTCAGACTCTACCCATGAAACCTGGGCATGGAATAATGGAAAAGAATGAGCTGTCATTGTGGGAAGAGACAGTGGCGTCGCTAAAATCAGCAGGGTGTCAACCAAGCTGTGCCACTCCAGCCAAGGCACCACGTTAGGAAACACAGGTAGAGTGTGGCCGGTGTCTGTTCTTGCACCATTCATTAAGGATGATCAGGCAGTAGGAAGACAGTAGGAGATCAGCAAGGCTAGCTCTCCAGAGTTGCTCTAAGAGATGTCCTCTGGCCAGTGGAGTTTGTAGCACCAAGTCCAGTTAGGCGGATGAGATCCACAGAGAGGGGCACAATATAAACCAAGGGTAGGAGTTTTCTTCCACCCTTTCAAGGAACAGACCAGCCCTCAGCTTCCAGATCTTGGCTATGCCTCGTTCTCCCGCCTCCTAACGCTTACTGACCAGCAAAGGTTGTGACCACGCCGTGCTGCCCACTTCTTCCTTTTCCCACGAGCTTCTTGGGTTCCTTTAAGTGAGTGGCCCCTGGGAAACCCTACCTACCCTGGTCTGTGTAATTTCATAACCCCACACTTCCCTGTTTGCTGTGAGAGCTTAGTGAACCTCAGACAAGCCTCACTGACCCCCTTTTGACCTCAGTCAAGCTCACTCCAAGCCCCATGATAACCCTGTATATCCCTGATCTGAGCAGGCAAAGGCTGTGTTTCCCCCATGGGCCAGTCAGGAATCCTGCTCCACTCACCCTGGTCCAGGTTAACCCCACGAACAAAGAAGGAAATGTGTAGAGAAAGAGTCTTCCTCCTTCCCATGGCCTGGGCCTCTCTGGAAGTGAGCCTTTGTGACACTGTAGCCTTTGGGTTGTCTGATGCCTGGTGACTGTGGACAGAACACTAGACCCCTAAGACATCTTAGGGTAGTAGCAGTTCTGCCCCATCCTGAGAGCTCATTTCTCCCCACACTGCAAGGCTGAGTCACTTAGGCTGATTAGGAGAGGAAAGGGGAGATGTTTCTTCAGGCATCATTCTTCTTGAACAGAACAGAGTCCAGTTCCTTGGGGATGCTACCAAAATAGCTGTCTTCCCAGCCCTAGACTGGCTCCCAAGGCAAGCATCAGCTACCTACCCACACTTGACCAGCCATTTTCAGCCAAGAGACTCTATTGGAATATCACTTTAAGATGGAGGAAAGCGCAGCCTGTACTGAACAGGTCCCTGGCAAGCCCATGGGAGGCCTGACAAAGCTGAGCCACTATGGACCGGGGCTGGGCTCGTTATCGAGATTCGGGACCCAACCCCGTGCTGCCTGCCCTTAGTTCTGGTAAGAGCACACACTTGGGAGTCAGATGCCTGCGGTTGAACCTGCCACTAGCTCTGTGAACTTGAGCACATTATTTAGCGCTCTGAACTCAGTTTGTTCATGTATGAAATAGTGATAATAGCACCTATTTCACAGGCTGTTGCATTAAATGAGTTAACAACGAAAAAAGTTAAACCAGTACCTGACCCATAATAAGCACTCAGTAAGTGCTTATTACTGTCATAATCATTGTCATTATTATCATCTGGTTAGAAACACAGGCATCTTCTACGAAATCATTCCTCATTACCCTTGCTAACCCTAGCGCTCAAGGAAGCTCTCTTGGGCAGCTGTATGTTCTCTACTGGCCAAGGCCAAAAGTGAGAGAGAGGAATGGAGGCTGGGACCACCCAGGGAGTGGGGGCTTCTGAAAGCTAAGGCTACATGCATGGAGGTGGCATCCCTGGAGAATGATCCACCAGCATGGCACTACACTTCTTAAGCTACCCAGCCATCTCTGAGGCTTCCCTTGCCCCAGGAGGGCAGCTGAGCAATGTCATGTGAATTCCCGTGGTGGGGCCCAGCAGCCCTCACACCGCCAGGCTGTGGTCTTAAAAAGAAACCAGGGCAAGGTCTGCTGAGCTACAGCATCTGCTCCCTAAAGCCATCTGGGGCAAAGAAGCTTCCCCGCCTAACTCCCAGCTGTTGGCCAGAGTTGATTCCTATCAGATCATTAGCATGAATTGCATTTAAATTGAGTAGTTTAACTTTTCTCTGTTGTTTTTCCCTTTGGTGATTTTAAAATGAAAGTGGTCCCAAAGTTTGACTTTGTGAGTGTGTACAAAGAAGAATGTATGTGTGGGAATGTGAGTGACACTTTAAGAGGAAAGAGACCTAGAATGCAAAAGGGAGCAGTTGGAGGTGGAGGGCAGGAGTGACAGCTTCTCTCTACTGGTTACCTGAGTTGAGGGAAGCACCTTCCTAGGAGCTTTTTTGCAATGAGTGATCCATATAACTTGGAGCATGGGGGTTACTAGGAAGGACAGAAGAGTGGGTCTGTAAGTGCCACGGGCTCACAGTGTCTTCCTTCCTCTGGTCTGCTCTGCTACTCAAAGGAGGAAGATGTAGTGGTTGAAGACTTCGAAGAAGATTCAGAAGCTGAAGGCAGCGGGGGTGAGGATGACATCCGAGAACTTCGAGCCAAAAAGCTGGCTCTGGCCAGGAAGATAGCTGAGCAGCAGCGTCGCCAAGAAAAGATCCAGGTGGGTCCTGGCTGGGGAAGGTGGTTTTTTCCATCAGGGCAGTGACTGTGTAGGGCATGAGAGGACGTGGGCAGGGAATAGGGATGAGCAGGATTTTCTCAAGAAGAATCTCACAATATCCTGTCTAGAATTACCCTGTTTTCTTTTTCAGACACTAAATTTGGTGCCTAGAATATTCCTCCTCCTGGGCTCCAAGACAAAGACAGGTTCTCAGAAAATCTGATAACTTCTCCCTTAGCAGTGATTTATGATTATACACCACACGTGCATGAGCTTTCACACAATTTCAGGTGTTTCAGAGTTCCCCTGAATCTTACTTCAACTCTACTGAAGAAACCATTAGTCTCTGTCGAGATCATCTGCTCTCACGGAGCAGACTTTCAAGGCCACAGTCTGCTTCCTGGTTCCCAGTGTGACGGCCGAGCTCCTCCCAGAGAGAGGCTGTAGTCTCCACACAGGGATCCCTCCAGCCTCAGCCCTGTGTGGACACATACCTTCACGTTCAGCGAGTGTTTCTCCTGGGTCTATCCTCAAATTAGAGGCTCACTAGCTCTAGACTGGGAAGAACTGGTCATGCTCTCCTCTTTCAAGATGATAAGCAGCATCAGGCCTCCTGAGGAATGTCTGCTCCAGCCCTCTCTTCACCCACCCTTGTCCTTTGGCATAATGTCCAGTGCATGTGTTCGGAGACCTGGTCAGTCTGGACTCTACCACTTAACTAACTTTTTAGCCAGACTGTTTAATCTTCACAAACCCTGTTTCCTTGCCTGTGAAATGGCAGTGATAACAGCACCTGTCTCTTAGAATTGCTGTGAGGCCTACAGGAGATCATTCATGGAAAGTGCTTAGCATAATGGGTACACACACCATGTGCAGAAATGGTCACTAGTGTTTTACATTAGTGTGACCACTCATCATAGAGCCCTGCTCTGGGACAGTGAGTGAATACCAGTTGGGATCCATAATTCTTTAGAAATATTCACACCCCCCTGCCAGTTGGGATCCAGTCTGTAACATGCCTATCAGCAGTGTCTGTCACGGCATGGCTGCCTCCTTAGCAGCCTCCTCCTGTGGTCTGTATGTAGCCTCAGTTACAAAGCAACTTCATTCTCAAGACTGCTTTTCTTTCTCAGCAGCAGTCCTCCTAGAATTTCTGTCTATACTCATTACCTTCATTTCTTGACATTCAACCCAGCAGCATGCAAAGCATCGTGTAGAAGTCACCGTCTCCCTGCCTTTGTCAAGTCTGTGCCTCCATTGTAGTTGGCTTCCCTCATCTGTCCTCTCTCTTATCATATCACTCTCCTAGGCCCCTTAGCACCTTTTTTTTTTTTTTTTTTTTTGGTCTCTTTCCTTTCTCTTATTTTTTGGTCTCAGCACTTAGAGTTGACACTGGGCAAGTATTTGCTCAGTGACTTAATAGACAGTAACAACCAGAGCCAGAGCATCATCTTAAATTCTTCATTGACTTTTGGAGACCCCTCATTTCATTTCTTCTCAAATCCTATATATTTACTTATTACCTTCTCTCTGTTCCTGCTGCCACCGCAGCTGTGCTAGCACAGGTGCTGCCTCAAATCGTAGCAGTCAGGGCCTCCACCCTGCACAACTCCAGGGGCTGCTGTTCCCCTGTAACCTGTGAATGGCGCCGCCCACGACTAGGCGCTACAGTCTGCGTGTTGGGCTCCACCAGGGCGTCGTACATGTTTTCATCATCCCCTTCTCAAAAGAGCCACTCCTAGTCAGACATCACCAGTGCCTTTGCTTGGTTGATAAAACAGCCTAATGCCTTATTGTATGTAAGGCTTTCTTATTTGTTCCCAGTCTGTTTTTCCAACCTCTTAACCCATCCCCCATGAGCTAAATGACATTGGGCAAATTATTTAAGTTCTCTAGGCCTGTTTCCTCATCTAGAAAATGAAAGTAGTAACAGCATGTACCTCAGAAAGACAGTGCATGTAAAGTGCCTGCCCAGACGCTCAGACCTTACCGCCTTCACAGCTCTCGCCTTCCCCTTCACTCTTTGCCCCCAGATATGCACTGTCCTTTTCCTCTCTTGGGGCCTTGTTCATGTTCTTCCTGCAACCAGAGTACCCTTTTTCTACTACACATTTTCTATTACCTGTTGAAATTCTATTCCTCCTTCAATTCTCAGATGAAACGCCATCTCTCCCGTGAAGCCTTCCCTGATTCCCCCCAGGAAGAATTCCTCTCTGTGCTCAGTATTCCTGTGGCATTGATTTATACCTCATTTGCAAAAGTTATGTCATGTCTCCGATTACAGTTATTTCTGGGCTTATTCTCCCCATACTGTGAACATCTTGGAATCAGGTACCTTGTCTTCAACTCACATTAGTAAGTGGTGGTCAGGGAACATAGGAATGAACAAAAAGTCCCATCCCAGAGCATACAGTGGAGTGGAAAGACCAGTGATTTGAAGTGTGAAGGTTGTTACAGAAAGGAAGTACAAGGTGCTGTGCGAGCACATGCCACAGAACACAGCCTTGTCTAGAACAAGTGTTGCACTCGCCCTCTCCAGCGACAAGCAGTACCTTGCAAATAGGAGGTCACGATCGAGACTTGACTTCCGGTTGCTGCCCCTACTCAGGGAAACCTGTTTTCAGCCTCCTTCAGAGGAGGCTGCTGTGGCCCAGGCGCCTAGGGCCCTGTTGGGACTTGAGTTGCTGTGGCCCCTTTAAGAACAGGCCCCACATGCACCACTGCTGGCGGCCCTGCCTCCTGTCAGCCTTCTTCCTCCAGCCTCACAGCCACAGGAGGATTTCTCAGCAGAGGAAAAATTCCCCCCTTCCCTACTCCCCCCTCCCTGCTTTAATGCCCGGGGCCCTTCACTTCCATAATTCTTCATTTTCCAGCCTTGAACGTAAGCCAGACACATCTGTCTGGCCATATGCGTGAACCCTGGAGTCTGTGCCGAGGTGGCTGTAAAACAGGGCCGGTGAAGGCCCTTCTGGGAGAGCACACACATGTGTGTGCCCTCGGGCCATTGGCTCCCTGCCCAGAACCACGGGGCTGCAGTGCTCCAAACCCATGTTAACCTTTTCTTATTTTTCCTCTTTTTGTTTAATTTAAGGGGGGAAAATCCCAAGGAAAAGGTATAAATTGTCCTGGGAGTGGGGGAGAGGCTCCTAGCTAGAGAGGCCATTATTGTTGGCAGGTACCTGGGTCACACTAATACAATAAGGAAGAGAGGAGCATCGAGTGAATTAAGATCGGAGAGATGGGCTATAAATTACACTATTCTGAACTCCATCAGTCTCCAGGGGTGTTAACCGAGAGGTGTAAGGCAAGTCCCCAGCTCCCAGCACTTTTTACAGATGCAGCAAAACAGGAACCACACATGTTTGGGGAAGGGGATATGAAGATGGGGTTGAAAAAAATCCTCCTGGCCCCCATGATGGCTATAAAGTCCAGCTGAGATCTAGAGCTGCAGACACGCCCCCCACTCCCCCACATCCACCTAGACCCCTGGGCCTAAGCTCATCTGTGGGGCTGGGGGAGGTGAGGCCCCCCCCTCCCTCTGCATACTGCCTGTCCCTCCCTGCTTCCGGCCTTGCATGCAGACTGGTGAATGGGGCCGAGTGGAGGTCAGAAAATGGGTGTGGGCTGCTTGCAGAGTCTGCAGCTTCATGCTAGGGGGCCAAGTCCACTCACCTGGGGCTTTGGGGCCCCCTATCCGACTGAGCCCAGGCTTTGCCTGTTGCTGTGTGCCTATTGATTGAGACAGCTATTCATATTGGGTTGGTTTTGCCCACCTTGCAGCTTGCTGCCTGGGTTCCTTTCATCCCCCAATGCCATTCTTGGGAAGTATCCAGAATCCTGAGCAGGGTACATGGTTTGTCTGGGAAATTGGTCAGAAGTGCTTCTTTCCCAACCAGTGAGCAAAGCAGTCACTGAAAATCCTCCTCCAGGGCTAGTATGAGGTGTGTCCTCTTGGCACCTCATACTAACCCTGGCCCTGTGAATCCCCCGCCTCCACCAGACTTTACTGTGATTTGTGCTGCTGTCGGGTGGGGTCAGGTTTCCTGAGCAGTTGCAAACATCCCACCTGAAACATAACAGGCTCTTCCTCTGGCCACAGCTATTGTTTCCTCGGCATTATGGCCACAGTCTTGCTCTGTAGCCAGCAATGACATGTGTTCTGAAAATAGCTACACTCCCCTGTCCCCTTCCCGCCCACCCACCCTCCTGAAGATGCAGTCACTCCTTTGTGGTGGCCCCAGGAGTTTCACTCTAAATATAGCTACAGCCCATTCACACTGCCACCCAGCTGGGGGGGGAGGGGGGTGTCGCTGTGGAACAATGGGGCATGCACAGATCCCCCCACACCTGTATGGAAGCTAGCGGAAGGCAGACACTCAGCCTTGGCTCCTAGCTGTCGGAGGCAGGGTGGGAGCCAGCACACTACCAGGTCAGGGGCACGTTCACGCCTGGGCAGGAAAGCACATCAGCATGTGGAACTGGGCAAACGCCCTCCCTGCTCAAGCCAGTTCCAGAGCTGGTTCCAGATTCTCTACAGACTGTGGTGCCGGGCCTCCAGTTTGCTCCAGCTGCTGTCACCTCCCCGGCTCCTGCAGCATCCTGTCCTCCTGCACAAAGGTCAGGTTGTTGGCTGGAACACACCTCAGGCTGTTGATTGGAGCAAGCTCAGGGGTATCCTGCTTCACCCTACCACCCTCTCCATCTGGAGAGGACACACTTCTTGGGCTTTCTCAAAATTAGAAGGTAAAATTTAGATTACTTTGCAAGTGCCATTCAATTCTGAGATTGTGTGATTTAACTCACTGACCTCTTAGGAGGAATTAAACTGTGTAGTAGGTATGGTCAAAGACAAGAAGGCAGTACCGCTTGGACTTAACTCAGTTTGAATACAAAATCAGTTCTCATCCAGTAACTTTTTAAAAAAGAAAGCAAGTATTTTAAACTCTGGACATGCAGACTTTGGACATGCAGAGAAGGGATCCTAAGTAGAAACTGCCATGAATAACCTGGCCCCAAAGTATTAACCACACTGCTCCCAAGAAAGCTGGCAGCCCCTACCTGCAGAATACCTGCCTCACCCCTCCCCACCTCTAGTTCTGCTCCCTAGCAAGGAAAAAAAAGAAACTGACATCAAGTTAGTAATGTGTATTATCAGGCTCTTAGGTACTTTCACATACAAGGTGAACGTAGAAATTTGCTGTGTCACAAAGCTTCTCACTTCAGATAAGGACACTGCTCTGGCCAGACAGACCCAGGGCTAGGTGATCCCATCACTCTACAAAGGGAAGGAAGCAGCCATAATTCCCTGAGGAACCCTAAGCAGCAGGAACAGTTAAGATGACCTTTTCTTCATCTTACTGCTTCATGATACACGTTCTTCAAGTTCCACAACTCTCATGTGAGCCATGCATTACCTTTACTTGTAATTTTCAAGTGGGTCAGCATCCCCTCATCATCCCTGCTATCCAAAAGAAGGAACTTAACCTATAGAAGACCCCTTCCTGGGGACCCAAACCTGTTAGCCTCCTCATCAGATGTTATTGTGTATTATCTCTTTCCCAGTTCCGCACTAGCTTGCTCAAGGATGTGCATCAGAGAAAACTGGTTACGTAGCGTTTTCCCAAAACAGTTCTTTTTCTCTCCCACACTTGGACAGTTTGGCCCTTACTGCCGCTGGTCTCGATCAGAGTGTCACTGCTGATTACCCAAGGAGCACTGTGGCACAGCCATAGCTGTAGTGAGAAGGGCCCTATGGAACTCTCCTTCCGGGTCTGCACACTTGACTCCAGGCTAGGGCCAGTCTGTCTGAATCACAGCATTCCATGTGCGCCCCCCTCACCCCCACCAGAGGCTTCTGCAGCTTTTTACTCATACAAACAAAAATAAATCTCACTACCGGCCTCTGAACTCCACAGCAGCATGCTTCCCCCTTCTCCCCAAGCGTCCCATGGCTGTGAGTGGGGACTTGGCACTCTCCCCACCGACATCACTTTTTCACTCCCTGCGCATCCTGTGTCCTTCTCTCACCGTGCGACCCAGAGATCGGAATGGGACGTGACGGCCGGCACAGGCGCCGTGCACAGCTGCCAGGAATCTGACGGGTAAAATCTGGAAAAGTTGGGAGGGCAAATGCTAAACACACACACTAGCGCACACACTAGCGCACACACACCACCACTCAGAGAGAGCTGGGAACATAGGCATCCACAGAAGAGGGCCTGCAGACTCCCAACCCAGCCTTAGTCTGCCAGTCTGAAGGGGAGGAGACTGGATCAGGCTCATGACCCAGGCATGACCCCCTTGGAAGCCCACTGGTACCTCAGGAGCAGAAGGGGCAGCTTCATTTACCCCCTGAAGACTTCGTAAGGGCATGTGGGGAACAGGAAGCAGTTGTGTGGTGACTCACTGGGCAGAGCCAGGTTAAGGGAAGTTGTCTGCAGGCGTCCCTGGGACCGGATGATGGCAGCACAGCTCTGACCAGCCTCTCACACAACTTGACCCCACCCCAACCCCAGGGAACCAACAAGGCTACCACCTCCCCAAGAGACTGTGGCCTCTGTTCACCTTTCTGGCCCTGAGCCAGAGCTCAAAGAAATCAGACAGTTAGAGCTTCCCTGGACTCTGTTTCTAGAGTTTTCCTCCATCCCGTCCTCACAGCACACAAGTAAACCAGTTAACCCCAGGCCTGTCTTGATCACTTAGCTTGAAGACCCTCCTACCACTGCAGGCTCTAAAGCTAGTCTGATGCAAGTGTGGGAGCTCATTCACAAGAGGTAAAAAGTGGCAGCCAGTTCCACTTCCTTAGAGTCAAACTAGAGCTGAAGTGTCATTATTGAGATAGGGAAACCAAGATGTGGGAGTCTTTGTAGGGTGGTGGCAGGCTTGCAGTGTTCTTAGGACCCTTAGCCCCTGTCAGTGTAGGTGCTGGTGACCTCAGACCTTCCTCGGCCAGTGTCAGTGCTTACTCTGCTCCTTACCCAGAAAGACAGATTTGAGAGCCCTGTGGTTATCAGAAAAGACATTCCTGACAGTGGAAAATTGACTAGAGAACATCAAAAGCCAAGGAAATGGGGAACAAGAATGCCTCTGTGTGGGACAAGACTTAGTCTCTGTGTGGGACAAGACTTAGCCTAAGCAGACTGTGTCCTGGCCTTATGGAAATACCAAACCGTTGCATAATTTATATATAAATGCAATACAGAGATATATGAAATGTGATGTGTGCATAGTGTATATGTATGTCAACTGCCCTTCAACTTAAAAAGTTGTTTCAATGTCCTCGTGAAGCTGGTGAATGTGTACCCTCTCGTTGGCAGCTCTGTGGTATAGGACAGTGACCCAAGTCTCCTGGGAAAGTGGCCAGCAGCAGTGGGACTTTCCCCTAAGTGAGGTGAGACCAGTATGGAGACGTTAGGTGACTGGGCCTCACAGCCAGATTCTCAGGCCTGCCAGTGTCCTATGGTCTGTGCCTTCCACCAGCTGTGGTGGCAGTGGCAGCAACAACTTACTCATAGGGAAAGGTCCCCGACAGGTCACAGAGCACCACCCCCAGTATTGGAAGGCATGCCCTTTCAGTTTTACTGTCATTGCCAGTGAAACCAGAGCATCCTTCCTACTAACTGTTGGTGGCCAGGACTCAGTGCTGTGGCCCCAGATCAGTTGGCACGCACATCTACTCCCCCGCCCTGTGTTTCTGTGTCTCTGCAAGTTGGCGTGCAGCAGAAAGCCATGAAGACGGTGTGACAAGCCTGGGACCAGCTCACCTGGCCCCTGGTAGGTTTGTGTTACCACCCTCAGCTCCATATGCAAAGAGCTGCTGTCTGGACAGATGCTGTAAATCAGTTTTCTTCCTGGCCATGGTCCCCTGAAGAGGACGCAGTACAAAGGTGACCATGTTTTTTAGTGACAGACTTACCCAGACCTATGTGCAGGAGGCTCCGTGAGAATTAAGAAAATTGGGCCTTTCACAGATGTGCCTTGGGGCCTCCCTGAAAAGATGTGAGCATCCGTAAAACTAACAAGCACAAGCCATGTGTTTCCCAAGATGTGGTCCCCAGAAAACTGGAGCTCCCTGAGGGGGTGGTTTAGTAGTGTGAAGGAGACACTTTGACTGTTTAATATGGAAATTTAGCTTGTACTAGTAAGCATAGTACTAGGTTGTTAAATCCTTGATATCATGGAGAGAATTGCTTAAGAAAAGACTAAGCAAAGGAAAAGAAACTCAGCTTTAAGAAAAATGTCAGGTGAATAATGGCAAAAAATTAACCTCATAGCTTTGTGACAGGAGCACACATACAACACACAGACCAGCATTTGGGGAACACTGCTGGTGTAAGGGACGGCAGTATGGTGTTCGTGCATACATGTGAATCAGCCCTGATTCAGGACACTGTCTGGGCTCCTGCTGCTGCAGGAAATTTTGGTATTAGTTACCAGCATCAGTGTTGTGTACTCTTTGAGTTTAGTTTCATCTTTTTTTTAACTACAGTGAAGTAACCTGAAATGAATTGCTTGGAAAATAAATTTCTGTGTAGTATCTAAATTGAGACATGCCCTGCTATATGTTGCACAGTTATATAAAACCATTTTTTTAATTCATCTTTTTAATATTTATTTATTTATGCATGCAAGAGCTGTGGCACAGGCCAGAGGTGCAGGGGTAAAAGGGTTCACCAGAGACAGAGTGGGGAACAAAACAGACAGATGGACTGAAATACACTGCTGTGGGGAGCAGCGGAAGAGAGAGGAGAGGTCTGCCGCATCGTGTGGGTCAGCTCCCTGGGCAGGGATCAAACTGGTGCTGCAGCGGCTGCAGAGAGGCTTCAACGTGCTTTAACCGGGTGCACCACCAGGGAGGCCCACAAAACCATTTTCATACTCAAGAAACCTAACTCTCTCTTTCTCAGCCCAGAGTCTTCAGAAACCTGTTTTTGTTGCTGCTGCTGTTGTTAATACAATCTGGGTCATTTCCAGTCCTAGGTAGATTTTTAGTAAATCCCCATCCCCCAGGTCACTTGGTCTGTGTTGATTTTAACTGCAGTGGTTTGTCCAGCCCTTGGCCCTCTGCCTCAGGACTGACAGGAGCTGACTTGCCCTGGAGCGGGAGGAGATTCCTAGGGCAGAGTGCTGACCCACTGTGTAGTCAGGGCCCGGCTCACCGACCGCTTGCCTGCTCACTCCCTGGCTCACTCACCATTCTGCTTTCCCCTAGGCCGTCCTGGAGGACCAGAGTCAGATGAGGCAGATGGAGCTCGAGATCAGACCCCTGTTCCTTGTACCAGACACCAACGGCTTCATTGACCACCTGGCCAGTCTGGCACGGCTGCTGGAGAGCAGGAAGTACATCCTGGTGGTGCCCCTTATCGGTGAGTCAGGCCAGAGCAGCCACGCATGTGCACAGAACCCCTTCTACACCCCATGACCCAAGGGTCAGGCAGGCAGAGCCTTGCTGCGTGTGTAAGACAGGATTTGCAGGGAAGTAGGGAATGTGTGGGGCAAAGAAAATTGTTTAATAATCAAAGCAGTTCAAATTATTATGGCTGATCCGTGGCTTAAACTGCTTGAGCAAATGGACTCCTGTGTCCCAGCAACCAGAGGCTGCATGAGCCCAGCCCTTGTTTTTATCCTTATAAAGCTTGCAGTAAAACAGCAAAGCTGGTTCCCGTTATTGGTAAACACTCAGCCCTGGCAGATAACGGCAGTGTTGCTGGGTGGTCTGGCAGGGAGGCTGGGAGGATTTTGAAGTGGTTAGATGCCTTTGGTCTGATTGTCTTGTAGCTTTTCATGATCATTCTGTTGGTTGGAGGTAGCATTCTTCTGGCCAATGTCACCCTAAGGCCAGGCCGACGGAAACCCTCCAGAATAAGCCCTTGGCTCATGCCTGTGGATTCCTGACACTTGGGCCCTTACAACTGTCTGATCATTGGTACTGGTGCAGGGTCAGTATCTCAGGACCCACTGGCTTGCTTCTACCCTCAGACCAGAGAAGTCCAGCTGGCTGTCTCCAGGAACTGTCTAGGCACCCTTAGTTCTTGGAGCTCTGTTGTGATCATCCTCAGAATGGGCTTTGGGCTCTGGGCTCCTGACTTATACAGATGTTGTACTGATATAGTTGATGACTGTGTGGAGGGAGAGTGTTTAGGAGGTGATTGAGAAGCCCAGGCTTTTTAAATGTCCCTTCCTCAGCAGCCCCTTGGAGCACATTCAGGAGCCCAGTCCTCTGGACAAGCTGCCAGACTGGCAGTGTGCCTGCCAAGCCACCTCTGACATGCATGCCAAGATGTTCCATTGGGCCTTCCCTCCCAGTCCCTAGTGTCTTAGTGCCAGATGAGGGTGGAAACAAAGGGCAGGAAACATCCGCCCCTGCAGAGGCTATAGAACCCTGGGGGGTTGTGGGAAACACGTTAGCACCACCTGAGAATGTTGGCACTGAAGCAGCCCTCGTCCCGCCTCCACCCTCCCTGTCTTCCTTCCCCCTCCCCATGTGGCCTGGCCAGAACCTCTGAAACCCAGGCCCTTAGACCTAAGGGAAGATTTTCTGTTCTTCAAAAGTGGAGTAGCTTCTCTCCCCAAGGCAGAGCAGCAGGGCCATCAAGTTGTAGAGCTTCCCTTCTTCCCTCGCTGGGCTCAGAGGTGTGGTGGCTTTCAAGACAATGTGTTTCTATACTTCCCTACCTAGGAGATTTTAAGGGGAAAGAAAATAACTTGATGGAGGGTGCTGACATGTCAGGAGCCCCCTGAGATTTAGAAGGGGCCGACGCCTTCCCAGCTAGCAGGGCTCTTGGTTACCTGCACTTACTGTGCCCCCACTGTGTGCTTTCTTTGTTCCCGAGGGATCAGTGAAAGGCAGGGTTGCAGTCCTGAGCCTTGAGAACCTGATGGCTCAGTGGGAAAAGCCTAATTTGGAGGGAGCAAATATGTGAGAAAATCCAGAGGATACTTGCAGAATTTAATAGATGACCCCCCACATCCCAAGAGTGTCGGGAAATGACAACTGTTACTACAATCCAGGCCAGCCTCTTTGAATCCCCCTCAGCTGATCAGGGGCTATAATGGGGACTCCTGCTCGCTGGACTCCTGCCCTGTGGACAGAGCATGAAGGGTTAAGCCAGCAGCCTTCCCTGCTTATTTCTTGTGCTCTTTAACCTACTCCATGTTCCTTGGGCCTGACCCCAGCATCAAGAAGCCCCGCCTGGTGCAGAAGCACAAACAAGCTTCCCCTTTGAAGCCTGTTTAGTTTGGAAGCAGGAAAGCAGATTTGGGGATGAAATACCAGTTTTTCCTGTTTGATGTTCTCTTTGCTATACCACACACCCATCCACTGCTACTTCCCAACCTCAGCTATACATTCTGTGACCACCTCACCCTCAGGTTGCTGAAAATATTGGGGGAGAGAGAGAGAGAGAGAGAGAGAGTGTGTGTGTGTGTGTGTGTGTATCTCTGTCTGTCTGTGTGTGTGTTTTCCCACATGGACCCTTTCCAGAAAGTGTCTCTGAATACCCAGACAGTGAGTGCCAGGCTCACCATGGAACAGCATGCTCATGCCGACTCCTCGAGCCATGAATCATTGCACTGAGGAGAGGCCTCAGACCCCAAACTCTCCCGGAGCCCCCAAGGAGTGCATATTTCCCACTTGACCTCAGGCTTTTGGCTGTAATTTTGGAAAGAATCTTCACCAGAAAATGGAGCCATGTCCCAGACATAGGCAGGCAGGCAGATAGACAGACAGACAGACACACACACACACACACACACACACACACACACACACACACACACACACACACACACACACAAAGTATCAGAGGAAGTAGATGTGCCAGGGGCATGGTTTTGGGGAATACCAGGGCTATTGCAAATGAGGTTGTGACTACTGCTTCCTTCTTGGTGACCTCCCTGCTTTTTGTTGGAGAGGGGGGTATAGAGCTTTGCCCCTCATGGACTGCTGTGGTCAGGGGCTCAAATGGAAGGGGAAGAGTGCCTCTTTCCCTTTAGCTGCTACATACCCTTGTCTCTCCTGAGGGATTCTTTCAATTCGATCCTATAACTAAGGAATGCAATAGAGGGGCCAGGTTTCTTCCTCTGAGCACAGCAGCTTCAGAAAATCCCTGTAAGATTCTCCCAGGAGGAGAAAAGGGGAGAGAACACTGGAAAGGGTGGAAAGTCTGGGATACTACTTCCCCCCCCCCCAGCCCCCACCAAAGTTCCCTAATTTCTCTGGATAACTGTAGTGGGGCGGTGGGGCAAGATGGATTCTATGGAATGGGGAAAGGTGAAGGCAGACAAGGCTGAGGCTGATAGGCTGTGGGACTCTGTCTTATCAGTGATCAATGAGTTGGACGGCCTGGCTAAGGGGCAGGAGACAGACCACCGGGCTGGGGGCTATGCCCGTGTGGTGCAGGAAAAGGCCCGGAAGTCCATCGAATTCCTCGAGCGACGATTCGAGAGTCGGGACTCTTGCCTACGGGCCCTGACCAGCCGTGGCAATGAACTGGAATCCATCGCCTTCCGCAGTGAGGACATCACTGGCCAGCTGGTGAGAACTCCAACATAAAGGGAGCGCCCAAAGTCAGCCTCAGAACAGGGTCTCCAGGAGGGAGGCCCTAAGGGAGAGTCGGTCCACTATCCAGGCCCAGGAGTGATATGTCCCCTGCATCACTCTCTGGCTCAGCTGGACTGGGCTAAGCAGGTATGGGAGGGACTCTATGACCCCGCCCCCTGCAGCCTGCCCAGTGTCACAGTACTCCTGTTGTCTCCTCTGCATGGCGCCCCTCCTGCCCAGTGGCACTTCTCACACTGTCTTCCTCCAGGGTAACAACGACGACCTGATCCTCTCCTGCTGCCTCCACTACTGCAAAGACAAGGCTAAGGACTTCATGCCCACCAACAAAGGTACGACTTTGTCTCTGCTTCAGGAGCGTCTGTGCCCCTACCTTACTTCATCTAATAGCCTCAGTCTAAAGGGAAGCATCCCTCTACCAACTCTGGCCAGGGAACTGGCCAGACCTGCTACATGCCTGAGGCCAGACCAGCATCCTGCCCTGCTGGAGTCAAACCTCCTGTCACAGCGCCCCCATCCCCACCCCCAGGAAATGTCTGCTGTACCCTGGAGCAGCCAGGGTGCACCCAGCCCAAGAATCCTGGCTCTAGGCAGTGAGCTTTCCCACTGAACAGGCAGCCTTTTCCATCCTTGGGTCCTCAATAAGTTCTGACAGCAAGAGTTTTTTTATGATTCAACATAGTTTTTTCTAGCCATGGTCTCCTTTCAGCCTTCTGTAGCTCTGAGAAGGACAGGCCCATCTCCCTTTCTCAGCCATTTTCATCCTCGTCTTCATCCCTGAGTGATTACCCTGTGGAGGCTGGATGCAGGCAGCTCCCAGTGAGCGTGGGCCTTGTCCTCCTGCCTCTATATCTATGAGCTGTAACACTTGCAGGCTGAGCAGAGTTGGAGAGGCAGGTGAAAACTTGAGGACTGAGCTCTCAGCCCAGTGACCAGACCTTTTTGGTGAGCAGAATCCCGTCTCTGTTCTCACCGTAGGACTTTCTTCCAGTTGTTTGAGCCCCTCATCCTTAAACCAGAACTGTTGTCCTACACAATTCCTCAGAGTCAACAAGTCTCAGGTGCTTTCTGCAGCAGTGTGACATTTCTTTCGGAAGGAACTCCTAGTACCTCCTAGTTCACTGCCATCTGCAGAGCTAATAACTCACCATTTGATTTCAGTCTACACATACGACACATTTTCTCTGAGTCCTCGTCACCCATCTCTCTTCATGGCTCATTTTCCTAACCCTGGCTCCAGGCTGGTACAGTGATTGTCTTCTCTTAGTGCTGCTCTCACCTACTTTAATGTAGCCTGTCACTCTGAGCCAGATTACAGAGTGTGTTTCCTGAATGAACTAAGTTTCTATGCTATAGCAGCCATTTTTCCAAGGGGCCCTGCTGCAAGGCTTTCGTGCACACTCCAGAAGACCGTGGGCTCTGTTCCCATCCAGCTTCCTTAGAGGGGTGCCTTCTGAGAGAGAGGTAGACTGGATAGCAGAAGGCCTTGTTGGGAAATATCATACTTGGTTCAGATACTGCTGTGACTCCACCCAGCCTCAGAGCTGTTTCTCTCGTAGAAGAGACACATTTTGGCTTTGTCCCTACTATATCCCCACCCCCACCTTAACCCCAAACAGCCTACAGGAACCCATTTCGATTCTGAGGACCGCCCCTATCAGAATTACATCAGCAACGGCTGGTGTAATCAAACCCCATTTCTCAGTGTGAATTCTTAGCAGATTAACTTGTCAGATTCACAGAGAAACCGTCACCAAATGTTTATGTGTAAACGATGTTGAATTTTAAAATCATGTGGATTATGGCGGATGGGGCCTGACAAGATGACAGTCTCTGGTTTCTAACAAAGTGAAGTTACCAGTGTCAAACAGAGGATGTTTATTGTTAAAAATGTCTCAAAGTATTCACAGAAACCCCTGCAGACCCCTGCCAGCAATGTCGGGCTTTGGCTGGCTGACCTAAGTCCTGGGACTCTCCTGGTCTAAGTCTCAGGGCAGAAATGGTGGGGCTGCAGACAGAATCAGGTAACCAGCTGGGAGCCCCACAGAGCACCACCACCTCCAGCCCACTCCACATCCACACAGCCCAGAGGTGCCAGGCCCAGGCATTTGAACGGTTTCAAAGCATCCCCTCTGCCCATGGCTACCACCACCACAGCCTCTCAACTCCATCACCTCCTCCTTCCACCTCTCCCCTTCTCTCACAAGCCCATGAACTTCTCCCTCCCTTTACCCCCAAACTCCTCCAGAGACTGACAACCAGTTCTCAGCCTCCCTGCTCAGAGCTGGCATGCTTGAAACTGCTTCAGTTTGGTGTAGTCATTCGCGGTCCCCCAGCCCTGCAGATACCTCACTCAGTAAGCCCTCAGGACACTTCCTGTGCCTCGCTGTCTGCTAGGCCTCCTTCCGGAAACACCCACCCAGGACTGGAGCAGACCCTGCACCCCAGAAGCCTTACCAGGGAGGGTTTGGTCACTTGTGTGAGCGCATGGCCCTGATTTAAATTCTTCCCATACGCTAAAAGGTTAGGGGTTAGGGGTAGAAAGATGTAGGAGATAATCCTGCTTTAAAAAGTTATATAAAAAGAATGGAGACTTATCTATTTGTACCGACACAGCGAGATTTTTAAAAATACAGAAAATTTGGATAAAGTAAGTATGCTAGTATGATCATAATGTGGCAGGACTAATGTTTATATAAAAACTATATATACGTATAAACATGCAGAAAGACATCTGAAAGCCTATGTAGATCTCCCCCTGGGAGTAAGACAGACACAGGAAGGGGGAGGGCAGAAAGGAGGACCCTGACTACTTTGCTGTTCACTGTCCTGTACTGTTGGAGATTCCATAATGTACATGGGTTCCTTTTATTGCATAGAAGAGATCGCATGACCATATTCCCAGGGCTCTCTTGGCACAGTTCTGCCAGGGACCCTTACCCTCTACTCCTCGAGCCCCCTTCACATAGAACCCCTCTCCTCATGCTTGGAAGCTGTGGACATCTTCGTCTTTAGTTCTACTTCTTGGTACCTAAAGTGTTAACTTGCTGGCCTTGGAGGGAGAAGATGTGCAAAAGCAGAGTATTGTAAGTCTAGGGCCAACAGTGCAATCAGTAAGGATAGAAGTATGGAAAAGGGCTTCTCCTCCAGCTCGTAGTGCTGAGAGATGAGTCTGTGAAGGCTGGGGGGGTCTGGACGACTCTGGGAACTCAAAGCAGCACAGAGGTCTGCACTGGAAGTGGGTGGGGGTCCCAAGCATGAGGCCATCCCTGGCCCAGTATGACTCTTGTCTAAGCCATTAGGGAGGGGAGAGACACCTTGGCTGATTGTCGGTGTCAGGGGGGAAAAATCAAGAAATGATGGGATTCAACCCCAAAGATTCCCTTCCAGAGAGAGAAAGGGCAGCTGGTGCCTCTACTTCCTGCCCTCAGTGAAGTCCTGTTCTCTCACACCAACAGAGGAGCCGATACGGCTACTGCGGGAGGTGGTGCTGTTGACAGATGACCGCAACCTGCGTGTGAAGGCGCTGACAAGGAATGTGCCTGTGCGGGACATCCCGGCCTTCCTCACGTGGGCCCAGGTGGGCTGAGTGGGCCACGCTGGGGCCCACCCCCCATGGAACCGTTCCTGAGAGGCCACCAGGCGCCCAGTGTAGCACAGAAGATGCCCACGTGCCTGAGCCACCAATCCACCCAGACAATAAACCATCCTCTTCCAACCCACGCCGTGGCCGTGCTGTGGGGGAGCTGCCCCTCACAGAGCCCCTCCCAAGGGTTGGGCAGAAGCTGCTGGGACCCTCGTGGGCTGCCGAGATTGAGCTGGGAAGTGGCTGGCCGCAGCGACAGCAGGTGGGCCAGCCAGATAGGCCGCCCATGCTCTCAGCCTTCCTCCCTCCCCTGTCTAGTACCATTGCTGGGGGGAGGCCGCCTCAGCCACTTTCTCTGGTGGAGGTGAGGCAGAGGGTTTAGAGTTTCCATCAGATGCAGGTGAGGTCAAAGATCCCTTCACTCTTCTCAGTAGCCTTGTCCTGATGTGTCCAAGAAGCTTTATTCATGACATGAAAAAAGCCCAGGGTATGTCTCTCTCCCTGAGGCCTGGATTTCCCTATGGGCCCTTGCTGGGTTCTGGACACCATGTCCCTAACAGCAGACCTAGACCCTCCCCTCTTCTACCCCAAACACAACCATCCTGCCCTTCTTCTTCCCTATCAATCTGGGCTCATTGCCCTTTGCTACTTGTTTTGCCCTTGGATGGTCATGGGTCTAGAGGGAAAAGGCGTCTGGTCTCGGGCCCATACTTCCTGGGTGGCCTTTGCCTGCTCCCTCTCTCCTCACTGACCTTCCTTTTGTTCGTTTCCCCAAGAAATTTCCTCAGATTCTTCTCAGTTATGCCCTCTCCTCTCCTGGCCTATCTCGCTCCCTCCTGGGCCATCCCCCTCACCCTCTTGCCTACTCTAATCCTCTAACTGTCCTCGTCCTCTGTTTCCTCACTCAGTTCTTTGCCATGGGGGTTCTTACACTGAATCTTCCTCCTCTGGGGCCTGTGGCAGGAAGCTAATAAAACTGTTCCACTCCTGCCCTTCTTTCCCGACCCCTGTGGCCCTAGAAACTTCCAGGCTTGTGTAGCCCAGCCTGAAGGTAGGGTGGGCCAAAGCCTAGTCTGGAGTTTTCATCCGTCCTGTTTCTAGCTTTGCCTAGACTTTGACACAGGGACCCTTTAGCCTTTGAGTTTATGTTGCCTCTTTAACTGGCACCTGTGTTTAAAGCCAGGAATGTGTTCTTCAAACCCAGGGACAGGAGTGAGAGGGACTTAGAGAAAGAGAGGGTTTTGAGAAGGAGAAAGGAGTAGATTTTGATAACCGGTGGGGGAATCTCCTAGAGCCCCTCTGACTGTCCAGACTGTACCGCCCCTGCCCGGAGGATGGGAGGAAGTCTGTTACCTCCCCAAGAACCAAAATGATGCCAGAAGGAGGGGAGACTACAGGAGAGCCATGGGGTAAATGCCCCGCAGTTTGGGGTGTAAACCCCCCAGGGCCTCAGCAGACTGGGCTCTGGAGTAAAGGTTCCCCCAGCCTCTCTTCTGAGAGCCTCTTCCCTGGATGAAGGCTGATGAGTCGGTGGGAGGCTGTGGTGGGAGGGTGTGAAAGACCTGTCTCTCCTTTCTGTCCCATTTGCAGCACTGGTTTTGTTTCCTTAATAAATTTTTAGTTATGAAACGTACTTGACCTCTTGCTGATCTGTTTCTGGGACTGGGTAGGGAAGAAGGCCCAAGCCTCTGCACCTGTGTGAGGGTGCCAAGTTTCTGGCACCTACCGCCCTGATGCGGCTCCCCTGGGGCTTTGTGTAGGGTGGAAGAGAGCAGCAGGGGCCAGGGTCCTTGGTTACTGCTTTATTGCTGTTTGGTTCGAGTATAGAAAATGGAAGCGGCTCTGGAAGAGCCTGTGTACAACGTAGGAAATATACAAACGAGGAGGAGGGAGCTAAAGAGACCAGTCCCAGCCCAGCCAAGGGCTCGGGATGGGATGGGGGGCTGCCCTGGGCGCATGCAATAAATATGGTCCGGGGCCCCAGGGAAGGGAGGGGGACACCTCCCGAGTGAGAGACAAGGCTTGCCAGGGCTGTCTCAGCCTTCTGACTTAGGAGGGAGGGAAAGGTTGGCCCTGGGGCTAGTGCCACTTGTGCAAAATGAGGAACTTCACATTATCAGTCCCGGGGCGGGCGGGGGGCAGGGGCGGGGAGGCCCTCCGGCCGGCTCAGTCCCCTCCCTGCTCCCCAACTCTGCCCGACGCTCCGACCCCAGCGGGGAGATTCACAGTGAGAAATGGTGTGGTCGCAAGGGCCGGAGGTAGGGCCGGGAGCTCCCCAACAGTGACACCCCTCCCCACAAGAGCAGCTCGGAGCCAGGGGAGGAGGCCAACGAACCACAGGAAGAGGCGGAGAAGGGCTGGGGGTCTCCTTTGGTCAAAGCTGATATCAAAAATATAAATCTCCCTTCCCCCATCCCACCCCCGTCCCGGGGTTTTACCCCTACCCCCACCCCGGGCTAAGGCACAAAGCAGTGAGGCCAGGTGGGGCCGCTGCCACTGAGGCGTTGCTGCTGCAGCAGCTACTACAGTTCTCGGCGCGGAGTGCCCCCTCGCCGCCGCCGCCGCCGCCGCCGCCGCTCCTGGGGACGCAGATCGCAACCAAGCAGCGGCAACCCGGCGGGCAGGCGAAGGGCGCTCTAGGTGGGGGAGAAACGGTCGATGGTCCGGCCGTCGGGTCCGGCAGCCAGGTGCGCTCCCTGGCTCAGCACCTCCGCTGCCTTGTCGGGACTGAGGCCCAGCTCCGCGGTGAACTTAGCCAACGGGTAGAGGCTCTCGAGCGCCACCTTTGGGTCGTGCAGGAAGTGCGTGGTCTGCGCCAGCAGCTCGGCTGCGGCCGCCTTGTCCTGCTGCTTCAGGCTCAGCTGTTCAGCGGTGAGACGGGCCACCGCAAAGACACCCTCGGGGAAGTCCAGCTTGCCCTTGCCGTCGGGGCCAGGGACGCCGGGCAGCCCCCCCAGGCCCGCCAGCGCCCCGGCTGCGCCAGCCGCGCCACCCACGGCGTGCATCTTCATGTGGCTGATGAGGTTGCGTTGCTGTGCGAACTTGCCGCCGCAAACCTGGCACTCGTAGGGCTTCTCACCAGAGTGGATGCGCATGTGCTCCGTGAGGCGGTACTGGCGCGTGAAGCGCATGCCGCAAGCGTCGCACGCGAAGGGCTTGAGGCCTAGGTGGCTGCGCATGTGGCGCGTCATGGTCCCGCGCTGTGTGAACTTCTTCCCGCAGATGGTGCATGGATAGGGCCGGGTCAGCCAGTGCGTCTTCTCGTGCTGTCGAAGCGTGGCCGGGTCCTTGTAGCTCTTGTCGCACGACGCGCAGCGGTATGGCCGCAGCAGCTCGCCCAGGCCTCCCGGACCCCCAGCGACCTTGTCCCCACCGCTTCCAAACGGGGGCCCCAGGCCGGCGGCCCCGGCAGCTACATCAGCGGCCTCTGCCCTGCCGTACAGCGCCTCCTCCTCCTCCACGTGAGCCTCCACGTGCGCATTCAGCTGCTCCGAGCTGGGGAAGCCCTTGCCGCACGGGATGCACACGTACAGGTTGTCACCGAAGCTCTCGGGTTCGCCGTAAGCCAAGTGCGGGCATGGGTACCCCTCGAGGTGGCCGCCCGGCGGGCTGGGATCCTCGCTGCTACCTGTCTCCTCACTGCTGCTCTTGTAGTCATCACCATCGCCACCCGCGCCAGGCCCATCCAGGCTGCCGGGGTAGCGCGGCGGTGGCGCCAGGCCGAGCGAGGGCACCCCGGGCGAGGTGGCCGGTTCCCCGCGCTCCTCGCAGCGCTCGCCGGGGGAGCCGCGCTCCCGGCCCAGCTCATCTCCATAGCTGCCCAGGCCTGGTTCGTGCTTCATCCAGCGGTAGAGGAGGCTGGGCCCGTCGGGGCGGCCGGGGGGCTCGGGTCCCGGGCTGCCGCCGCCGCGAAACGGATCCGGAGGTGGTATGGCCTCCTCCAACTTCTGGAAGGGCAGCGGCGGCAGCGGTGGGAGGGCGAGTGGTGGCTCCTTATAGGCTGCGGGGCCGGCGCTGGGAGGACTGTCTGACCGCGGGGGCAGTTCGCGCTCGCCCAGCGGCCGCTCTGGAGGTGCAGAGCCCGGCGGGCTTTTCTTGGACAGATCCAGGCCGCAGAGCGGGGAGCACCGGCGATCTGAGGCGCAGAGGGCGGAGGCCGGGCCGGAGGTGTACATCTCTGCGCAGTGCGTGCTCACCGCAGCTTCAGGACCCGAGGGAGGATCCGCGGTGGGCGGCGGCGGCGGCCCAGCTGGGGACGAGTAGCACGTCTGGATGACGGGCGTGGCGGCCCGCAGTCCCCGACCTGGCCGTCCGTAGGGCGCATATCCGCCGCCGCCGCCGCCACCGCCCCGCAGGTGACAGTACTTGCCGTGGCGCTTGAGACGCTTCTTGCACAACGCCACAAGGTCGGGGATCTGCAGGTAGCTGGCTGCAGCAAGCACGGCTCCCAGGCTCGGCTCCGCCCCAGGGGCCACGGCCGCTGCCGCCGCTGCCTCTGCACCATCAGCCAGGCGGCCGGTGTAGATGAAGTCCAACACCAGGCGGAAGACAGCCGGGCTCACCATGTCATGGTCCAGGTTAAGCAGGTTGTCATGCACTACCAGGGACTTGAGGTAGGCGCTGCTGGCCGCCAGCACGTTCTTGTGCGCGCGAAAGAGGGCGTTCTGCACCACGATGATCACGTCGCACAAGAAGCCTTTGGTGCGCTGGTTGTTGAGCTGCAGCAGCAGCTGCCTCGAGTGGCCAGGCGCCTCCATCGTGTCCAGCATCGTCTGCCCAGCACAATCTCCTACGGGGACACACACCAGCTGAGTCAGAGCCGCACCAAGACTTCGCTGCCGGTACCCAATCCAGCCCGGCTCCCCTCCACTTCCCGTTCCCCTCAGCTACACCGGGGCATGTAGCCCCGCGTCCTGGGCAGGGCAGAGAAAAGGCGTCCACCCGAGAGAGCGGGAGTCTGGGATGAGCAACCCAGACAAGAAGAAGGAGCAAGAGACTGGCTGGTGGAGAGGAGACCACGCTGGTCGTGCCCTGGGGCCCTGATAGGGCTGGGCACACAGGCTGGTTTCTGGGGGTTTCCGAGGAGAAAATTGTTGGGGCGAAGTGACCCTTTCGGAGAAAGTTACCGGATTTGAGGAAAATGTCCGCTTCAGGAAAAGTCATTCAAGGGCCGAGAAGTTTGCCCGAGTGGAGAATAAGAGAGTTGTGTAAAAAGCGCCTCCCGCCTCCGAAGAAGTTGCCCCAGTTGGGGGAAGTGATCCAAAGCAGAGTGCGGTGCCCGCCGGGACGCCGCCCTGGCCAGGGGCTGTCAGGCCCTCACTTTTGGGCCCGGGCGGCGGCGCAGGGAGCGGAGGCACCGGCTGCGGTGGCGGGCAGAGCGCGAAGGCCGGCCCCGGCGCGGGGAGGGCGTTATATCGGGGCAGGAGGCTGAGGCAGGAAGCAGGTGGGGGGGAGGGGGGAGCCACGCAGCTCCCAGGGGAGGGGGGGGGCAGCGCCCCGGGCGGGCACGGCGCGCTGCCTGCTGCGGCCCTGACCCCGGCCTGCGCCCCACCCGCGTCCCGGCCCCGGGCTCCTCGGCCTCAGCTCTGCATTCTCCGGCCAGGCGTCTCCCTCCCCAGCTCCCCTCGGCCCCTTCTTCACGGGAACTCCGTCGCCCCAAACTTGGGGGAAAGTTTCCCAACTTCAGACAGGCCCGGAGGAGAGCTCCAGTCCCAGTCTCTCGCCTCTCAGCTTTTATCCTCGACTCCCAATTTCGGCAGCCAGGCGACCGCAGGGCCTGAGCCGGGCCCTGAACTTCTCAGCCTGCTCGCTGCCTGCCCCACGGTGTTCCCCGCCTGGCCCGCAGGGCCTGGTGGCCCGTTACCTGCGGCCACAGGCCTGCCGGGCTTCCCTCCCTGTGGCGATGGCAGTTCCTAGCCGGCGCCCCACCCTCCCCGCTGCCAGGCGCTGAGCAATGCCGGGGCAGCGCCCCTGCCAGCCCCGCCCGCCAGCTCCCCTTCGCGTCCCCTCGCCTCTCCAGCCCATGTGCGGGCAGAGCCGGCCCCGGGCAGCTGACCCCGCAGTGAACCCGGCGCAGAGCAGTGGTCTGGCGGTACTGAGTCCTCTAGGGGTGACACCCGGAACCTTGAACGCCAGCTACTTTGGGGCGCCCGCGCTGGAGGATGCGCCCGAAGCAGCTAGCACGCGAGGACCGGGCTGTCTGGGTCCCCTGTCCCTCACGGTCCCTAGCCCAAGGACCCACCTGGGGGGCATGTCGGAAGCCCCGGGCCCGGCTGCCGGCGGATCCAGGGGGGACGTGGCTGCGCTGCGCTGCCCTCCGCCCGCCGGGCCCCCGGTCGGTCTGTCCTGCTGGTCCGTCCTCCCCGCGTCCTGGTCGCGTCTCAGCCCCGCTGCGCTTTCCGCACACTCTTATCTGGAGCGGCCGGGGCCGTTGGGCGCTGCCGCAACTATATCGCCACCTAGCGGCCTCAAGGATCTTCGCACCACACAGCCTCTGCGCACCTGGGCTGAATGCGCAGCTGGATGCATGAGTGGGAGGCTATCCACAGTTTCACTTTCCCAGATGTGCCCACCTAGGGGCCCGAGGCCCTATACCTGCGAATCCCACAGATGATGGGGCTTTGGCTTGCAAGTTCGCATGTAC